TGTATTTTCTGTGTGCTGAACATATCTCTTTAAAGCTGTTGTACAAAAACAGATTTCACGTCTTATAAAAAGTGCAGCAGTTCAAATTGCCTGTTGTCCTTCTTAAAGTATGAAAATAAACTGTCTGCTATGTCTAACATCTAAACACTAGTCAGTAAAATCTTGAGTTGACAAAGCAAAGCTCACACACAGGTGCTGGTTAAATTGGTACTGTATGTTTAACTCTATACAAATAGTGAAGGGAAGCAACTAAGGGAGGTAACTGTGACAAATGGCTTATTAATGTTCACCCAATACAATTAGAACAAGTTGTTTTCTTATACAAAATAGTGTTTCTTTCTTACTGGGAATCAAGTTAATGATTATTATTATTTCTACAAGGACTGCCAGAGACATTAAGCGTTAAAAACATCTTGGATCTTGGTAGCAAGGTTATTCTCTTCTGAGAGATGTAATTATGTCGGTGAATGTGGCCATAGCTGCATTATCATAAATCTCAACAACAAAAAAGTTTGTTTTTTGTTTTTTTAAAGTAACCATTCTAACAAAAAATAACAATAAAACCTTGAACATACCTATCACTTAAAATGATGTGACGTTAAGGCCCAAACAGAATCCTTATCACTGCTATTAGTCTCATTTCACCACTCTGCTTGTATCAAACATTGGATAACTCGATATAGTTGGGGTCAATAGGAGTTAATGGGGTTTCACTGTTATCCTTTTTTGTGTGACCTTCACAATCCTACATAACAACTGGACCATCTCGCCTTCACAAATTTAACATTTCTAATGCAGCAAAATGTCTGTTCAAACATGTGGTTTCTCCTTTAATTTTGACATGTAGGAACGGTAATTTCTACCAATCTATCTGTGGCATGTGTGAATACCATTAATCTACAGAATAACTCACTTTGCAACAATTTGCATGAGTGATTGCAGAGTTTCTGCTTCACTTGACATCCACTGCAATATCCCCATAAAATATCATTTGATGTTGGCACTGTGCTTGTGCACACAAGCATGGGGTGTACCAGCAATGCGAGCAAATTGCTATAAAACGTTATCGTTAGATAGAGGAATATGGCTGGAGATAATGTTCCAGACAACTAAGTTTATTGATCAAGGCATGTCAATGGCATTTTTCTCCTAATGCAGCAAAGAAAATGCAGGAGGTGCCATTCAAAAAACTTTTAATCCTGATATATACTTTCACTGATATGAAAAGGCATTTTTATGATGTCTCCATATTCATCTACCACTTTACGTCTTTCATGAGAAACAACATGAGTGAGTGAGTGAGTGAGTGAGTGAGTGAGTGAGTGAGTGAGTGAGTGAGTGAGTGAACAAACGAGTGAGTGAGGCTTTACTCTGATTTAGCAAAATGCCATCCATATCATGACCCCAAACATCATCAGCTTAACACACTGAGACTATTTGAGGAATTGAACCCTAGACTAACCCACTGGCCCTGATGTGAAACAAGAATGTATGAATATAGATACAAGTCTTCTGATGAACTTAGAGAATGACTAATTCTCTTATACATTTCTTCAAATATGTCCATTAGAGGCAGTAGATTACATACAAGTGCTGACAAAGTCCTAAAACTATCAATGATCATTTGAAATACTGAATTTAACGCCTCACTTCTATCAAATATCTAAACAAAACAACATAATTTCTAATAACTAAGGACCTTTAACAGAAGCAAGAATTTATCTTTGCTATCAGAATTAGAAGCATACAATATTGAAATTTTCTCAAAAGTAACATAAGCATTTATGTAAGACAACTATTGTGTTTTGTAAAGAGCATTGCATTATATTCTTAAACCCCTTATCTCAATATGTCCATTAACCACATCCTTGACACACCTTCAGCTAAAAATATACCTTGTTCAAGTGATAAAGGTATTAGCACTTAATGGCAGCACAGATCACTGTACTCTGATGCGAAAAACATTCTTTATCTTACTTATTCATTGAAAAGCTCCAAATGGGAGCAAAAAAATGTCTAATCTACGGTGACTTAAACCCCGAAAGACAATCCCATGGTTGCATGTCTAGTCAAAGATATCCTTGGGGTATTGGTCTACTTTTGGAACATGCATATTTAAATGTGTTCATAGAAGAGTGTAAAATTTGGTGCAATTACACCACATCATCTTACCAAGGAAGCTCATTTCACAGCAGGGAATTCCTATTTAATTACCTTAATAGCGCTTGGGATCAATAAGGATAATTTTAAAGACCTGGTCTCTACAAATTGAAAAGAGATAGGGATGAAGCCTGCATTTGGGCAATTAATAAGATACCAAATGGGATGTTGTCAGGCTGAGGTTTAAGCTTCAGTGTCCTGTATAATCTGCATTAGCCTTTGTAATCTTTCAAGACTTTCTCACCATCAATTCCACATTTTTTCATTCTTTTTTGAACAACAAAATACTGAACAGTGATAGGAGAGTTATGCTATGGGGAGGGGTGTTGCTCACAAACCACTGTGACCATTGTGTACGTATAGGGTCACATAATATTATTCTTAGTAGGAGATGCATGCATCAGTCATGTGATGAGATGCTTGAAGGACAAGGCTCATTAAAACAATGTGTATTGACAGTGATATGCTAGGGGTCTCTGAAACCACTGAATTTAGATGAGGTGAGGTGAAAGGGGGTTTAACTTTGCATCTAAGATTATTGCACTTATATATGCACGTATGTATGTGGCTGCTTGTACTAGTCCGGACTGATGCCGATTTATAGTGCCAGCCCTGAGATACCGTGCCACAGTTTAACATGAACACCCCACTCAGACACAGTATACCGACTTCAAGCCAACCAGTCATTGTTTTAACCCCTTAATGCCGAGTGCCAGATAGGGTAACAACAAGTACCATCTTTTAACGTCTTTTAGGTATGACGAGGCGGGGATTGAACCCCAGACCTTCCACTCTCTGGGCGGACGCTCTACCACTAGACCAAGAAGGCGGTCCTGAATTTAGGTGAAGTTGTGTATGTTAAGAGCACACTGTTAATTTCTCTCAGAATGGGATGCACATTGTCAGATGCTTCAGTCGATGAAGGTGGCTCAGGGATGGATATTAACAGTAAAACCTGTACTGAAATGTATTCACATATTGGCTGTGTTTTGATACGTACCAATATGTATAGCATTAACATGGTAAAGAGTCTGTGAAAGGGATGTGCCCATATTTCTCTTTATATGTTATCAAGACACACAGTACTGCTACTTTGTTTACCTTGCTGTTAGACTCAATTGTACTTCTTGAAATATTGTTTATATGTGATGTTTTAAAAAAGATATGTGATGTTCTACAAATCTCAGCAAGACCATATCTTCATGCATCACACTGCATAAAGTGAATTGCATTTAGCCAGTGCACTGATATATTGTTACATTGTTATCCAAGTAATGGAGGCAAATCAAAACAAGCAATGGATGAAGGATGCATTGGAAAGAAATACCAATGTTCTTGTACTGGTTCTGTTTGTTTTGGAGAGTAACCTAATAACAACATGGTGTCAGCATGTTTTGGTGCTGGTGGATGATACTGGCCAGATGATCATATAGAAGCTGACAGGCACAATGTTGTGTGTAAGATCAGCTATTGCCTTTCAACATGTGTGCAGTATTATCCCTAGCAACTGTCAGGTTTTTTGTATCTGATTTGGTATTAATTCATGGCCACAGTTCTCCTTTCACTTAAACATGAACAATTACATCCAGGAGGTCATAATGCTGTTGTTAAACCAATGATGCACTGCAATTCACACTATCTATATCAGTGTATTCATGAGATCAAGACATATGTATGTAATATGGTACAGGATACAAGCATGGACATTACAGTAACTTAACGACAGGTGTTAAAACAGAAAGAGTGCATGTCTAGACCTGCATTCTTAAGGATAAACTTTATTAACTGACCTTCAAGAAAATTAATTACTCTAAAAAGTAATAGTCTTGAAAGTCTTTCTGGGTTACCTCAACTTGAGTAATGAAGACCTGTAAGTGTTACCATGTAATGCCTTGACTTCACAAGTTTTAATGTTCAAAGGCTTTTAATTCATTACGCTTAGACACTGAGAGCTCCATGGCCTTGAAGTTGGAATAATTAACCTTTCAAAGGCTCATAGGCCGGCTGTATGGAGTTTGGCAACTGTGTACCAGGTCATACATCTGATTACTGCTGTCCAAAACGCATTACGTTTTAGCAGTACAATAGCAGTAAGACAACTAATTAAAATTAGTCAAAACCCATTAAAGTTTGCAGTTTTAAAAACCGTAAGATAATTTAATTAACCTAAGTCAGTACCAATGTAACTACTCCCTTGTGTCATTATGGAACAGATCCCCTGTGCCCATGTTTGTTGAACTGGGAGGGGATCAAGGGACAGACAGGCCAAGTACCCTGGTCATGTAGGTTGATGTTCACTCTCTATTGCTTAAGGGGTCGTCTAGTCCCAGCCTGATCACACAGGTGCTTGTGTAGCCTGTCTCTTCATCAGCACTTATTGCACTTCCTGTTATGCTTATCATCCTGTCATCTCACAACCAATGCAGACATAAACAATCTTGTTAACAAAACTGTGTGTGCCAGTTGGAATACAGAGTTCAAAAAGTATTTTAGTTAAATATTAGCTTGGTGTGGGAGCCCCGAGGAGATGTTGTTGACAGACATTTACTGATTTTGCTGAAACCATGACTATGAGAATATGGTGCTGACAAACCAATGATCTGAGCAAAACTGGTTTTAGAATCCACTCAGCAGATCCTTGCATGCCCAGGGGACAAAACTCTCCACAGTGAATCATGGAACCTGAACCTTATATCACTTGGCTACCCCTAACCAACAGAAATTCTTTTTAATCTCTACACTGCTCGAGTAACAACTTTCATGATATTTCTATTGCCTAGGCGTTAGAATCACATACGATAATACAGTCAATATAATAATTAGTTTGACAAGGTACTTACGCAGGTGCTCTCCCTTGTAACTCGAACTTAGTGAACCGGATTTTCACTCTTTCTGTAGCCCATCCAATGAACTTGTAGATACAGTGTGAATTGCTGGGGTAATTACCGGTAATTTTGGACTTTGGAGAATGGAATGTTCCATTTTTGGAATTGCCGTGACGACTGGACACAATCACATCACAGTCTGAAACCGAGGGAAAAATAACATGAGAACTAACAAACAAACCATACAGTGCAAACAAGGTTTGTGTAAACAGTATGCCCATTTCGGCTGACCACAAGTCAAACACTGCTGTACACAGAGAACACCAAACTGACTAACAAAAACATCTGCATTTTGAAATCCTTACATACTTATTTTACTGTCGGTGTTGGTCTTGTTTGTTTGTTTGTTTGTTGTTTAACACCACACTCAGCAATATGCTAGCTATATGACTGTGGTCTGTAAATAATCAAGTCTGGACCAGACAATCCAGTGATTGACATCATGAACATCGATCCACACAATTGGTATACAATGACATGCATCAACCAAGTCAGCGAGTCTGACCACCCAATCCCGTTAGCATAGCATACAAACATAGGCGCCACTTATGGCAAGTATGGGTTGCTGAAGACAAATTCTATCCTGGACCTCCACGGGTCACACCTACTGGTTGACAGGCATGGTTCAGTTCATACAAGGCCAAACAGTCTTTGTTCAAGTCATGCTTATTCAGAAACCTAACCAGAATTAACACATTTGATAATCAAAAGCAAGACATAAAAATTTAATTTATTGTTCAAAATTCTGGAAAAGTAATGTCATAAGCCACAGATATGACATTTCCAAACATATTTGGCCGAAATAACATTGTCATGGTTTCTCTACATAGAGCCAGTGAAACATGATAAACAATATAGGATAGTACCACACTTACTCCTCACACATACAGAAAATATTGTGCAGAAAAAGTTTGATGAAAAGAAACTTAGTATTATGTATCTATAAAAATGACTTAATAGGTTTCTTGGTCCTAAATTATTAAAAACATAAATGATCAGAAAGCTAATATTGACAACACTGATCTTAGGTCTTGACAGTATATAATTGCCAATATTCTGAAATCAAAGACATTATGTAAACATTCCTATCAGCTGTGGTCGTTTTGATTGACATTGAAATCAAACAAAATATGAAGAGGAACCCTTACAGAGTAAATATTACAGCTACTATTCCACAATTCATTAATTATATCATGGACAATTCTTGCATGGAAAATGTAACTGATAGCACTGGGTTTTTTTCTTTCCGAAACTGCAGGATTCCGCTTGGGGTTACTTGATATGCAAACTTAATTAAAGTACAACAGTATTATCACAAGCAAGTTCGATTTTCTCATCACGGTGATTATCATTAGGGAAAGAATCAATACCGTTGAAACCCAAACCTTGTTTTCTACGTCTAATAACACTCGTTAAGTTTATGATGTGTATGTCTGATATTTCAAGAATCTATTCCTGCTGCTGCAATGTGACATGAAAAGATTAATTTGCAAAAAGACATAATAGAGCTTAGTAAAGGGGGAGACAATTCCCCCTGTCTAAATGTCAGGAAACGGTGTAATTGCAGTGATATTCTAAGATCTACTGATCAGTAATGACACTGACTGCACACCAAACAATACTTTGTGTATCAGAAAGGGAAAAACTGCCTATGTAAATGTGGCTTTAATCATGGTTTGGCTGATTAGCTAAGGAGATGTTTAAAGCACAGAAAATAAAACCTGGTATGAAAACAGAATTAATCACCATTTCTGATACAAACTGTGACAGGTTGGCAGTTTTTGGTTTCAAATATATGTGTGCAGTGAAGACTGAAATAACCTTAGGTTTGTTTACTATTTGTGGACAACTTTCCTACCTCTCTGTGGGAGTGATCATAGTCAGCCATGATTTATAGGCTATGATGTTTGTGAACAAGCAACCTTTGCCATGGCATCTCGAGCGATAATCTTTGTGGAAAACTTTCATGTGCTATATGGAGTTTAACGCTTGTATATAACTGCCTAATGCTGTCACGAGGTTTGTGCTATCTACAAGGTTCTTCCTGATGCCAGAAACATCCATATTAGATGCAGATTTAAATAAAAATAGGTAATTAAATTTATCGATTGCCTGAATGGAGACGTAAGTCATCCAGTTTGTTGTTATAAATTATTTACACAATACATGTATTGTTGGAATATGATATATTATGAAATATACAGAATCCTCACAAGAAATAATACAATGTTATTAACTCTTTCAACACCGTAGGCCGGTTATCCAGCCAAGAAGCATCGAGTCCCCAGACACCGCAGGCCGGTTATCCGGCCAAGCCGTAGTCACGTCAAAATAGTATATATTTTTATGGACCTACCTGTAATGCCATTCATTTATTAAATCTATCACATTTCACAATGTCTGAAATACATATTCCATTTTAATTTAACATTTTTTATCGTTAAATTAAAAAATTATTCACTATTTCTCGCGATGTTATTGAAAATAAAATTCTCGGACACACATTTCGACAACGGGTCCACATCGAACACGTCAAAGAGGAAAATAAAGACGTTTTAAACAAATCTTTAAATATATTATACAAAGTAATAAATAAAATCAACAAAAACATATCTAAAAGTAATCAAACTTACATCTATATTATTATTTCCATCTTTTCATGCGATCGCGTGTAATGTAAGTCAAATGACATCTCGGCTTTCGTCGCCTTGAATTCTCGGCTCGGACACGATGTTTAATGCAAAAATATATGCATGAAAAATCTTTGTCACAGCTCGTAACCTAGCACGATACATTCACGAAGTTCCATATTTTTAATATATATCGTGATTTCCTGCTCAAAACGTTCAGAATAACACGATTTAACAAAATTCTTTCGCAAACTTCTGTAATTTATCGAACACGAGCTTGGTATCACAGCTGTAATTTGATTGGCTGCCTTAGGTCACGTGCTCAAAATTGACCAATCACGAAACTTGTAGCAGATTTCAGCAAGAAAGCGTCATTAGAAACCAATTTTAATCCAATGAAATCACTTGTTATAACTACGAGAAAAAACCAGTCGATGTTACGAGCGTGTAGATGAAGGAATAAGCTTTCCAGCGATGTGTCATATGCCATTCTTCGACGCACGTGTTATTCATACGAAACCTCGAAAACAGGGGTATTTCTTCATTTTACTGAGCGGACAGTCGCTGTTATCGGGAAATGGGCGATCACAGAAACTATTTATAATTCTTTTTAAAATGATTTTCCAATTACGTAAACAATGAAAATAAAACAGAAATAGGTACGTGGATATTATGAAATCATATATTTGCCGAAAATCGTCAAGTTTTCGCTTCCTTGGTCCTTAATCTGGATGTTAACAACGTGTTAGCGTACATTTTTTATTTACAACGAATTTAATTAAGTTGTAAATGCATTTTTTTAAATAATGTGAAAAACATAACTTTCATAATTATAAACCTTAGGACCAGACCTTTCAAATGGTGTATAACATGTAGTAGCAAATATATTTTACAAGCAGGTATTTTCTTTGATAAATGTTGGCTTCATCTATCACACAAGAGTCTCTGGGAACTCGGTGTCCCAGCAGTAAACACTTCTGGTTGACTGGTGTTGAAAGAGTTAATAACTATGGTGTAGGTAGAATTAATATGTAATACAGGACTTAGATTCTGCCACCTGTAGCATACAATGAACCTAGATACGTTCAAGATGTCACTGAATCTTTGGACACTGAGGAACCCCTACAACGCCCCTCCGACCCCCAGACAACAGGGTCATCATGACACAAGACATGGAAGGACAAACCCTGGGTATCATAATAAAACCAATAAAGAAAACTTGGAAATGTCATGTTGCACCTTTCATTCCAGTGTAAAATACTAACATAAACTCCTATAAGTTTTCCTTTGAATTACTGTGCTTTTTTAGCATGAACAATTGACTTGCCTTTGCATGTATTTGTGATAGATGCCACCGTGGTACAGGATGCACTCATCTTTCCACAAACACCTGGTATCATCACATGATAGTGATTCATAAACAACTTATCATATAGTTGGAATCATAAAATGGACTTTTAGCAGAGATTGATTATGATAATGGAAAATGTTTTGCCACTTTTATTTATATTAAAATAGACATGTCTACAGTACCAAGTAGTTAGTAAAACTCGTCACCTTAGTTATACACAACATATTAATGGAAGCAACACCTAAAGGACAGAGTTCCTGTTTAAAATCTCTTGTGTCACCTGTTTCTCATTGAACGCCATCAACCAAGAGTCATATGTCCTATAAATTACTTCCATATCACCATTAGATTCTTAATATCATGTCTATTTCGCTGCCTGAATCCCATAAGCTGTAATGAGCACCCAAATCAAGAACAATCCAGGTAAATTTGATCCATATTAGTTACAGCTCTATCCTCTTCATATGCTCATTTCCACGCCATGTTACCACACACTCTCTCTCTCAATGCCATTTGTCTTCATCATGCTGATAGGCTAGGCACATTAATGAGAGGCTTTGCATCTGTCCACACTTATACTGTTGCTAATTTGCAAACACAAATGCTACAGTGGTGTCACCTGGAGGATGGTACCTGATAGATCATGGCCGCCCCTACTAAACATTCATTTCCACTGAGGAGGACACATGCATTAAACAGGAAGACGTAGGCAAGTCAGAAAATCAAATAATGCATGAATAATATAAGAAAGATCATGTTGTGAATCATGTTATGAACATTGCAATAAGGCAGAGTCAGGTCCACTATCTTATCAATAACTCTTTTTTACATTTACTACCCCACCTGTAACCCCCAATTTAGCAACTTGTTCAGACTGACTCTCAAAGGCTCCATTGACAGATAGCAGATAGGTTGGTAGACAGCAGAATTTTTTTCATTTTCTGGTTCTGCAGTGCCTGTCGAACCTGTCTTACAATAAAACTGAGTATTGCATTGACTATAAATCTAATTTTCAAATTGATTTCCCCTGACATATGCCATACTTTTTGAAAACAACTAAGAAGAAGCATAATTGAAGGAATATAGAATTGACTGTCATTGGCAATACAGGTTCAATGTTCAACATATGACAGCCAGTGTTGAAGTTTCAACTTAATT